AAATGGACTTTAAAAACTCTTATCTTTTGGATAGAAACCTTGACAAAGATCTTTTTACATTAGAATCTTGGATTTAGGGAAAATAATTTTGTGAACCTAGTGAAAGGCTTAATTGTATAATCATACATCATAAATATCTATCTGTGGGTTCTCTCAACTGTCCAATATCATTCTCTGTAGACAATTAGAATCGAATCTAAAGAGAAGTGAAAAAAAACAAAAGCTATCCTGAAGGTGGAAAGAAGAGGCCAAAGGCTTCGTAATTTAGTCAGGTAAGATAAAGAAGACAATTCATACCGCCATGCCTTTAAGCATGTCTCATAAACAAGTGAAGTTCTAAGTGAACTAGATCTAGGAATCTGAAGAAATTCAGATGTATAGTACTTTATACTCTTTTTACACATTGCTGGATCAGAGCAGTATACAGGAGTCCTGTGAAATCCTTGCATCATCACTAGAATCAATAATTATGAAGTGGAAAAACATCCTTGTGATCTCTAAGATACTAAGCAATATCTCCTTATCCATTTTTGAAAAAGAACTTTAGAATTACATTTATATTAACACCAATGACTTTTGGCCACAAACTGGAACCCATATTCTTGGTTATGGCAGCTATGAAAACACTGAACTAGAGAATGTTCTTATAGTTGAATGGTGACAGAATATGCAATGCAGCTTTTATTTTTACATGAACCTAATCTCTTTACTAAATGCTTTCAGTGATGGTAATCATCTGATTTTCTGCTCCATATTTTAGATTCTGTGTACATCAAGAATTTATACAAGGTTCAACATGAAATGTAAAAAGAAAGAAGACGAGGATGCTAAGATAAACATCACTGGAGGTGTTCAAAGGCTAGACAGCAACTGAGAAGGTATGTTATAGATGTGAGACAAAATGAGACAAATGGTTGGAATAAAGGACCACTAAATTCCCTTCCAACTCAGATGTATAATTCTAGACTCAGAGATAAACTCACAGGTGGTATCAAATAAAAAAGGCTTTGGCTCTGGAGTCATACCCAGGTTTGAATCCCAACTCTATCACTTTTATAATATAACTTCACACAAGTTATTTATCCTCTCCAAAGAATAATAATAGGACCAGACAAGAGTATTCAGTGAGATAATGCATTAGTGTCTGGCACATATTAAACATTTATTAACTATATAATCTGTATTAGGAAGGTATAGTGGTCAAAATCTAAATATCATGAAAAACACAGGGAACATTAACTTAGGAGCAACGTGATGTGGTTTCTACATTTGATTCTTGCCTCTAATTGTATATGTTAATTTCTAACATTCTTTCCAGTTACTAAATCTTATGATGCCACATTCTAGGGGGATTTTAATGTATTTAAACATTTATCAGATGCTGATTATGTGGACACATCATCGAATAAACCATACACTAGAATTTATGAATATACAGTTGAGTATAGGAGATAGACAAGTTAGAGGTGTGATAAATGCTAAGACAAGGAAAGATTTTAGAGGGTGTTTTGGGGAAATATAATCACGATCAAGGGTCAGGAAAGAATGTTTAGTAAAGGAAGTGCCACAGGTGGGTGGAGAATCTAAAAGGACAGAAGTCTACACACAAATGTTCTAAGTAAAAGGAACAGCACCTACAGTTAGCCATGTTAGAAAACTCAAATAATGAAGACCAGTTAGAAGGTTTTTGCATTTCCACGTAAGAAAGGACTGTGCCCTGAATGGGGATGAAAGAGATGGACAGGCTTAAGAAAAAAACTCACGGAAGTAGACATGGCAGTCCTTTGCAATTAACCTGCTATGGGATATCACACAAGTTTGAGTGTTAAGAAGAGATGACTAGGTAACAAGTTTGAGCACCTAGAGCATACAGATGACACTCAGAACCATCTACATATTCTTAGCATGATGAAGAATGTGAGAAGATGCTGTCTCAACAGCATCCTGAGAGCACCAGTAATACTTAAAAGAACAAACAGAAAGGAAAGGCCTGCCAGGGGACTGAGAAGAAATGAGAGGTAGAAGGAAAAACTGGAAGGGATGGTATCTTGGATATCAAAATTATCAGTCCAAAATTTAAAACCTATGACATGTCAGTATCAGCTTTGTACAAATCAGAAAAATATTTGGAACACTAGAAACTATTTAAAAGCTACTTAACTGTGATTACAATTGTTACTATCCATGCATAGGTACTCAAAGTCTGGAAGGGAATATACAAACACTGAGATCGTCACTGTGTCAAAAACTTGGATTAGGTGTACTTGTTTATTCTATTTCCCAAACATTCCAAAGTTTTAATTTTGAAAAGGCAAATATGTTACTATTAAAGAAGCTGGGATACAAATGTCTTAACTAAAAAAAGATTTTTAAGATAGTATTTTCATGTTCTGATGACCTATCAAGTTGTTGTACACTTTAAACCATGGTCTTAAAGAAATTAAGTTTATGCTTGATAGGCAGACTATTTCAACTAAACTGAAGAGTAAGCAAATTCTTACAGTTTTACTTGTTTTTGTTTTAAGCAGTACTATTATTGTGGATTTAAGTCCTATTTAGACACAGGAACTTTATTATAAACACTTAAAAATAAGAAAAGGTTTTACACAAAGTAGGTACTCAATTAAAAAAATCCATGTATCTAAAATATAAATTTTGTGACATACATGTTTTAAAAGTAAACATAGAAAAGGTATCTTTATAGAATTATTCACAATTAAGGGCAAATGGGAAACTGATACAGCACTTAGCAGGAGGTTTTACATGTGATTCATTCCCCTCCCCCAAGAAACATCTGCAGCTCAAAGCAGATTTTTAAACTGTTTCCCCCGAATGTCTGCTATTTATAAATCCTAAATATTAAAGGGTGAATTCCTTAATGGTTACACTTGGCACAATACTATTCTAGTAAGTACTATAGCTTTTCTAACACCTACATATTTGCTTATAATCACAAACATTACATTTGTATAGAAGGTATTTCCTAATGCAATAAATACTTAATTCGAAATTATAAGCAATTTACCAAATTTATTTTTTTGACAGATGCTTTAAAAGATTTTATAATAAAGGATGGCCCATTGCTACTTAAGTTCAAGGGAATCAAATTTATGTATTCACATCTTTACTCAATATAAAATTCTCCCTTATCCTTTAAGTTCCTCAGGGGTACTCTAGGCATACCAGCATACAATTGAGAGCCATGGTTCCAGTTAGAAAGCTAGATCTGAATCCTAGCTCCACCACTAAATGGCTATGTGACCTGAGCAAGTTATCTAATCTCTCTAAGCTTTCCATTTCCTTCTCTGTAAACTGAGGGTACTGATAGTATCTATGTAATACAGCCGTTGTGAAAATTAAATAACATGCCCCAAATACGTAGCATAGTGCGTGGCACACTAGGTAGCCACTGGGTAGCAAAAATAAAACTACTCTGTGGAGAAATCCAATCAACATTTGAGCACAGAGATTGACAGTATGAAATTCCTAAGCTAAAAGTGGGTAAGATCTGATTTGTTCCATCAGGCTAACGATCACTTATAATAAATTAGCCTTGGATAAAATTCAGTAAGTTACACAATCAGTATACTCATTAAAAATTTCTTTCCTACGTCATGTAGTTGGGTATATAACAAGGCTTGTCTCTTAGATACATTCATTAGCAATGTTATTCAACTCCTTTTGAAAATCTGACAAATGCTCTGAACCTTTCACCAAAAACTGAACATACATTAAATTCCATCCAGTATTTCACAGGATTCATGATCCCCGGATACCCACCCATCCATTGACTACTAAAGATGGATATCCTACACTAAAGAAATTAGAAATTATTTTCCTCATTACCCAAGTTATGTGGAATTATTGTGGTAAATGAAAAAATTAAAAGTAAGAAGTTTACAGGATCCAAGACAATTGTTTGTTAGTTTGTTGTATTTCCTTCCAAACTACTAATGATTGCAATTACTGTTTTACGAAACTTAAGTTTATAGAATATGATCAAAGTCATGGAATACCATATGAGAAACAATTTTAGAGTATCATTCAAAAGACAGGATGTATGTGTGTAAGGGAGAGACTGACTACCCCAGAGGGTTAAGGATAAAGTTAGAAATAGATATGGTGCCTATTTGATAATTTCAAATAATTTTTGATACACTTACAGGACAGGTACACCATACTTTAATGAAAATATTAATTGTACAACTGTATGACCTTGGACACATAACTTAACCCAAGTTCCTTTTTCTTCATCTGCAAAATATGATTTTTCAGATTGAAGATTAAGATCTCATCCCAGTCTAAACTGTATTATTCTAAGAGTCCCCTACAAAATACAGCTGTGTAAAACAAAGCAAAATAAGCAGCTATATAAAACAAGTTTTAAAATTTTTGTTTTCCATGCAGAATACAATGCTAAAAGGAAATCTTTTTATTTTCAGGGCATATCAAAAAAGTTACTATTGACTTCTAGTATGTGATTTTCATTTGATACTGGTTCTCAAGATAAGAACTGAGAAAATTTTCCTGGCTTTATTTTTACAGACATCTAGAAGAAAAATAAAATCCCAAAAGCAAATAAGGTAATTTAAACTATATTTTATGAAGAAAATGGATGTAAAGTTTTTTTTTTAAATAAAAGATTAATATATTAGTTCTCAAATATCTCCTGTGATAGTAACTAGAAAGTATTTGGGGCCCTTAACTACACTGTAAGCATCTATATCAGATGCCATAGCAATATTTAAATAATGTTTACATAATACAGGATGTCACTTTATTTTTTAAACTGATTATTAAACACCACTGCAAAGATACGGGCTTCAGCCTCATGAAATTTTGAAAGGATTACATATTCCCAAGTATTTAAAATTCCAAGTTTGAACTTATATTTAATACTATACTCTTAGTTATACAATGTGCTCATTCTGTTCATAAATATTCATCTCAATACAATAACATCAGGTATAATACATAAAATCTAATCCATTAAGTCTTACCAATTTATGACCTGATGAGACACTCTTGTGGACAACATTCAGTCCTTAGAATAGAATAACCCTCCAACCATGTGAGGGCATCACAACTTTTAAACTTTCGGCTTTCGATCATTATTATGTCACATTCCTCCTCCGATGCTGAATTCTAAAAAAAATTCTAGCAAAGAGTTTAAGTAAATAAGTGTTTTAATCAAATAGCCTTTAAAAATCTTTTATAGCAAAGTTTTATGTTTTACCATGATTACACAACTGATATTTTGTACTTAAGTATTTTTTTAATGTAAAATAATTTCATATTTAATCTGGATACTTCAAACTGTAAATTTCAACATGGACTTCCAGGCCATCAGGAATACTTGTTAGTAGAGTCAAGGAGAAATGAAACCAATTAAAGGTTTAAGATCATGATCCAGAAATTATGATTTAACACCATAACTTGCTACAGACAGTTTTGTAGTCCTATAGAATGGCACTTAAGTCTATTATCTGGTTCACATCCGTATGAATTTCTAGACTTCTAACACAGGTGGATGGATCAGTAATAATCCATACCGATCATTTAAATGCTCAAGACAGCATTCAATTTTTATGCCTAAATCCTAGTCTGTCTCTACCACCCCCCAATTTTAAATTAGACAACATGATGGAAAAAATAAAATTTTATTATGCATTTTATATAACAGACATAACAGTGTATCCTGTTCAGAAGTGGTCCTATAGCTCATCTGTGTACGGGCAAAGAACTTAGGGGTAGGAATATATTAAAGAATAATCTTACATTTATTAAATTTTTACAAGAAAGCTTTCAGTTGGGCATCTATTTTAACTGTTGAAGGGTAATATTAGTTAACATTTTCTGTGCAGTATGAATACTCATTTCTATTTTTAATTGTCAGTTATCCAAAGAAAAGGCAACCCACATATTTATGTGCGTATTTTTGCCTAAATTAACCCCCTAAATAAAACGGCATAATGGGGCAAGGGAAGAGGGTGGGGGAAGGAAGCCATCACTGAGGAAGATCAATATATGCAAAGCTACAGAAAACTCAAAGACAGCATTGTAAGGAAACTCTGCAGCCATCTCCGGAAATATCTGACCCAAATATAGGGGCTGGAGTTATGCTGTTACAGATTTCAAATTTTAATGGAATTTTTCTATTACACATGGTCTTTAAAAGTCTCCCACACAATCTGAACATCAGGATTTTTTCCAATTTACAAATATAATCTTTCCAAATGTAATCTCACAACACATTTGACTTCAATAAAATCATACAACTTTACTATCTTTTGTCAAAGCACCGCCTTATAATGTAATCACCTGGTGAAGGCAAAAACCCATATTGAAGAGAATAAATAGTTTAAAGCTGTGGTCATTTCATCAACATATTACCAAAACATTTTTAGCAAGTTCTTATGCAATTCTTGTCCCTATCAACCAAAATACTACCATAATTTAAAAAAATTACTTGGATTATTTACTCTTTCATGGGACAAGTCCCTTGAGAAGATACAATACCCAGCCAAAAGTAGCAAAGTATATGCTTCCTGAAATACATGTATCTGAAATACTGGTAATTTGGCTTGTCTGTGAAGGCTTTGATGGACTGGCCATTTGAAAGGCAGACTACCTGACCCTCTCTTAAAGGGCCTGTCAACAATAAGCACTGTTACGACAAATGCCTGGAAAGCCTCTGGAATATAGAATTAAAACCAGTCATATAAAGCAAATTTAGTTATTTTTCTATGAAGTTTATAGAGAAAAATTTTAAAGGGTGTGTGCATTATACAACTACATGGTAAATTAAGGACTTAAAGAGCTGTATTACATTTAAAAATACAAAACTTCCATTATCAGATTTTTCTCCATCATGCATTTTCCAAAATTAGTTGCTACCAAGTACAGGGGTTACCTGTGAAGGGTTTCAATGACTAAATTCCAACATGTAGGAAATCCTTATTAAAAATTTGAAATAAAATTGGGTAACTGAAGTGTCTGTAGATGAACAGTTAGGATTAATAAGATATTCTTAAAAATTTAATTTAAAATTAGAATTATCCTCAAAATGAATATTTAGAAACTTATTCTAATATCAATCATAAATCTCCAATCTCTGGCAAGACTGCTATCAAAAACAAATCCTGAACATTTCCCATATTTATCATTTCATTCTTTTTTAATTTGTGAGGAGGAAAAATCCCACTTAACTGAGAGTGAGCTACTAAGTCGTACGGTATAGTCTAGCAAAAACTAGGCTTAAGTTTACCATTATTTAGCTAATTTTATGGCAAATTTATACTGATAGAACAAAGAGAGCACAGGGGCAAGAAGGTGGATGATCTGCAATTTCCAAGTCATCTGAAAACTGACATGGGAAATCAAACAAACCTACAAGAGTTCCTAAAGGAACTTATTATTTGAATAAAATGTACTTAGCTTTGTTTGATACAAAATTTCACTTTCAAGTGTAAACCACCTTCTTCAAAAAGTTCAGTACACTATTTTGAGAAATCCTAGACATGATAAATCAACACTTGCTTCCCTATACATCAGAAATGCTTATTTTTTAAATGGAGAAAAAGGGGAAATGGGGCCACCCTGTATGCTCCCAATAAATTAGGTATAATCTTTCCATAGATTACATATTGGGGAAATGAGGCTAGGAATGTATCAAAGATAAGCTTATGAAAAAAAATTAGTCCAAACATATCTAATAGAATAAGAACACTGCAAAGACAGTGTGTTTTAAGAAATTCACATATAAAAAGACATACACAATTATAGGAAACCTCATATATCTGTGGATGAGCCAAGATACAATTTAAGATGATTAGCTATGTTAAAAATTAAGTATGAGAAATATAAGAAAAGGTGTTTAGCATGCTATGCATATCAAATGTAACTATTAGTGGAAGAAATCCAAAATATATGGCTTAAAATATTTCATTGATACAACTTTGGAAAATACCCCTAACAAGTTAGGTTATTGGTATTTTAATAGGTCATGTTCATTCACAAATGATTTATAATCCTCATTCTTTCAAAAGGAGTAGAAACAGCATATAGAGGATTAAAAGAAATAGAAATGGGGGTTGAGACAGAAGATAAAAATGGAAAAAACAGAGTAGGTGGAAGCCAGTTATATATTATTCAACTACATATGTGATAAGGAATGACAGGCTTTGTTAACAGAAAGCTGGATATCTGACTCTGAGCTTTTACTAATAACAGCTAACATTAGGAAATATTACCTACTCTTAAAATTTAAGATAGCATCACATATTATGCTTTTAAGAGCTATTATCACCTTTCTTGAAATAAAGTATGTATGACCATTCCAGGCATACATTTAGCTACATTTTCTGAACTAAGTTAGCAATATCTAAAATAGAAACAGACGCTGCAAATAAACTTCCTGAGGATCAATAGTTAACAGTCACTGTGAACAGGAGTGGTGATTAGTCACACAATACAATTTTTTCTCCTTATTACCCTTCAAATAGTGTGTAGACCTAGGGAAAGAATATCTTCTTTATCTTGACATACCACCAGGTAGTAAGATATGTAGTAAGATTTTTGGCTTCCAAGACACAAGTTCCATATACCACTACTTCTGGGCCAAATACCACAATTAAAAACTGGAAAAAAAAATACAATGAGCATCTTCTGAACCTTTTAGTATTTACAGCCAAGATCTTTAAACTTTGAAAACAACCAGGAAACAAAATGGCACAAAAACGCTATTTCTTAAAGATATGTATCAATGAATATATATTCTAAATTACTACCACCTGTTTAACTTTATTTCTGTCAAATAGGAAAAATGTTTTAGAAGTAGTCAACTGAAACCCAAACACAGAAGCTAATTTTGGGTTAGCTAATGCATTTGAATACTTTATATCATGATCACAAAAATCTTGTATCTTGATTTGGTGATTTAGAGTATTAGTACAAGTGCGCACATGTACACACAAATAAAGAGAATGCCAAACAGAATATAGTCAGTCATTTCTCTCATCTAACTCTGTACCAACCCAAATTAATTAAACAAAAATATAAAATAATACCACTTAATATTTTTCTTCCCATAAGGTTGCCAAACTATCTGCAGGTTTAAAAACACTGAAAGAAGTGTGAGTTTAAATTTTTTAATTGTTGAAGACTGGAAGGAAAATAAAAGAGATGTTACATTTGTTCTGGTTCAACAACTTCAGGCTATATATTTAAATATCCTTCTCATCTGAACAAGTTCAGTAAGAGTTTTCCTTTTAAAAAGCTTTTCTACAGAGTTCTAGATTCTGCAGAAAAAAATAAATTGGATTTAGCAAATTAGTTTACACACTAATTCACACATACAAGTTTCTGTTCTAGTCAAAGGTTTGGTTCACTTAAAACTATTCTGGTGAAAACTAAAAATAAATTAACAACAACAAGAAGACCGTACCAATTATTTTCACCTATTTCAACTGTTTCTTTCAAATTTCACCCTGAAAATAATTACCACGACTTTTCAGAGTAGGGCTGTGATGACTTATGTTAAGAAAAGTGACTAACCAAAGAAAGTGGTAAACACATGAGCAGAAGCATATAATAATGGATCAGCTCTGAAGTCTGGTTATGTGATGAAAATAATGTCAGCATGTCAGGTGTTCCATTTCAGCTAGCCATAGCAAAGCTAAGAGAGGAGAAGAAATGCTCAGAATCCACTGAAACACCACATCAAACAATGAGATGCAGATCCACGGTTAAAACTCTGGCAGTAGACAATCAACCTTAGACAACTATCAGAATAAAACTAGGAGGATACAATAGAATATAAAGGATAGCAATTACATAATTTGTAAACCCAAAAGGTGACTAAAAAGGTCTTCAAATTACACTTTTTCCAATTCCAGATAATTAGAATCCCAACTTAATACATATATATAAAAATCACAATACAGACAAAAATTGGTACATGAATACACTTCAATTTCTGTTCTAAGAGACACACCCACATTAATATCCACCTGGTCTCCCTCTCTTGCCATCACCCCCCCCCAAAACTCTGAGAAATAAAAGACATCCTCTTATAACATTTTTCCAGTCCCAGTAGTTGTTTCAGCTGAATTTTAGGCTTCTGGCCTATCTCCCCTCCCCACTTATAATATAGCCTTTAAGTCTACTCTAATTTAAACTTTCAACAGTCCTACAGAAGACTAATACAAGAAAAGTATTTATTTATATAAGACAGAAGGAAAAAAGACAGGTGTTTGATAATTAAATGTAATCTGTGATCTTGTATTGGTTCTTGGATCAGGTAAAAAATGGTCATGAAAGACATTATTGGGACAACTGCAAAATCTGAATATAAACTGTCTATTACATAGTAGATAACTATCAAACCTGAATTTGCTAATTAAAACTGTTGTTACATAACAGAATCTGCTTAGGCAACATATGCTCAAAGTTTTTTGGGTCAAATGGACAGGATATCTGCAACTTACTCTTAAATGGTTCCTAAATAATATGTTAGGATAATAAAGCAAGTATGACAAAATGTTAATGTTCAATCTCAGTAAGATTATTGGAGCTTTTTATTATTCTTGTAATTTTTCTGTAAATTTGAAATTATTTCAAAGTAGAGATTCAAACATTTTCCCTTCTTTTTGGTTAGTAAATAATATTCTCAGAATCTTCTAGTCTCTAAGATCACTTATCCTCTTCAGAGCTTCTCCTGTTCTCCAGAAGTAGGCAGTGTTTCCCAAGGGCCTGGCTTGACCCTCTTACCCTACTCTGCTCACTCTTGGAAACCTCAGTCTTTCCTAAAGCTCAAACTCTAAAATAATAATAATGAAACAAATAAATAAATGGTCTTCAATCTCTTCTAGACTTAGCTTCTCTAACAAGCTGCGTGTCTGCAGCTCCAGTTGTACCTTGACTATTTCTACCTTGACTTTCCACCAGCTCATCCAAAAGTAGCTAAAACCAGAATCTCATTATTGTTTTCACTTTCCCAAACCAATTCTTTCACTAATATTTCCTAATGGTACCACCATTCCCTCAATTAGGTTTGAGACTTTGGAGTCAAATTTGACTGCTTCCCTATCATACCCCTTGAGTTAAAACATCGTGTAATTCCTGCCTTCTGATAACTATTCTTTCCTCATCTCCATTGCCTCATTCAGGCCTTCATTACCTATTATCTTTGGTCTCTGTCCAATCCAGTATCTCTTTTCTGTTGTCATCAAATGATTTGTGCACCAAATTTAACCGTCCTTATCACAGATGCTCTGTACTTTCATAGTGGCTCACTTGTATTCCTCAAACTGGAATTCTCCCTTTCCCTCAGTCTTTAACTCTGACCAAATTCTACCCACCTTTCAGGTTCCAACTCAGAAAGTCACTTCCTGAAGAAGCTTTGACCAATACCTCCAGCTGTACTTGAGAGACATAAAATGTTTGAATTTTAAATGACAGTTATCACTTTCAGTCATGTGATGATGTTCTTACTTTTTTCCATATCAAGATCCAGTTCACTGGTTTCCCTATTGTGACCACCACTTAACTGCTCTGATATGGCATTCTTTCCTAAGAGTTTGCTAGTCTTCCATTCCTTAAGCAAATATACAGCTCTTTGAAGTTTTCTTTTAAGCAGGCTCCATGCCCAGCGTTAACTCACAACCCTGAGATCAAGAACTGAGCTGAGACTGAGTCAGACACTTAACCTACTAAGCCACCCAAGCACCCCTCTTTCAGGTTTTCTGATAATCATGGCCAACAATGACAAAACAGAAGAACTCAATTCCAGTGCTTTCCTTACCTCTTCTTTCCCATTTAGAACCAGAGGGAATAAAACTCTACAGAATAGGGATTTTAAAAGCAATCGGCTTTACACCTCATTCAAGGTCAACATTCTTGACTAGCCAGGAAGAGAGTTATTAATTGTATTAATATTAATTTGTAGTGATGGCAAGACTATTTTGCAGGGATGCATCTACTTGCAGAAAGTAAGCTCAAACCTCTCTTCAAACACCCCCCTGGCTATCTAGGTAGAGTATAAAGAAAGTAGTTTCTAGTTACCTTTGTATTTAGAGTAACTATTCTATAGAAATGGAGTACGATAGATCTGTAACCATTTTTTCCTGTTTTTTTTCCTAGTTATAAAAAGATTGCCTAAAATTACATTAGTTTTTGTGATAGGCCTGTCACTTGCTAATCGATATTAGAAAACGCAGGCAACGAATACATCTAGGTATTTTTTACTCTACCTTTTTAACCGAGAAATTTCAACTTTCCTGAATTAACATACAAATTCTGTCAATTTCTCAATTTCTTCACATGCTTCAGACTGTTACATTTATAAATGCTATCATCCAATAGCAGCTAAAACTTCCTGTTTTAATGTCTGAACATTTTATAAGCATGTCCTTAAGGTTTTTATATTAAATCTGAGATCCAGTCCTAAAAGGTGACAGGTCACTAAAACCTTATCCTCTAATTTCATGTCTTTGATTATCCTCTACTGGGTATCCGTAACTGAAGCCGGTCAAAATGTGATCACATAATAAATTATATAAGTACTAAGTACAAATTATTAGAGAATATATTTGGGGTGCTTATAGTTCAGGTTCATATCCTCAAGGTACTTCTAATAAGTAGAGAACATCTCCTAATAAGGATAGAGAATATTTGACTAGTAATAGTCTCCAACAAGTAACTCACTATGGTGATTCTACAAAATTATGTACTGTTGACCCTTTAACAACATGGGTTTGAACTGCATGAGTACAGATAAAGATTTTATTTATCTAAGTTTATTGATGTACAGTTGACAAGTTAATTTAGTTTCATGTGTACAACAGAGTCAACATAGTGATTAACATACATGGATTTTTTACAGTACTATAAATGTATTTTCTATGATTTTCATAATTTTATTTTCTCTAGCTTAATTTGTAAGAAAACAATATATAATACATTTAACATATAAAATATGTGTTAACTGATTATCAGTAAAGCTTCCAGTCAACAGTAGGATATAGGCAGTTAAGTTTTTGGGGAGTCAAAAGTTGTACTTGGATTTTCCAACTTCGCTGGGGGGGGGGTCAGTGCCCTCAACCCCCGCATTGTTCGAGTCAACTGTAGTTCAGATCTACAACCGTGCAGAGTCATATAGATGAATCTCAAACATTGGGTGAAAGAAGACAGACACAAAATAAGGAGCTTAAAATATTTTGTGTCTTGATCTGGGTCCTGGTTACACAGGTGTGCTCAGTTTAAGCTGTACATTTACGAATGGTGTACCTTTCTGATACAAATTATACTTTAAAAAATGTCTTATCACTGAGCATTCAAAAACTAGATTAGCCAAGTTCTGCAACCTGAATTTTACCATCTGGGTTAGCAAGTACTGGTGGGTGTTAACGATGTACCCAAGCTTCTTGGAGGATGAATAAAATAAAACAAATTATCTCATATAAGCAGCTTATTTCTGATTTACTTCTAACTTCAAAAATGAAATCTCATACGAACAATGATAGGAAATACTGATTACCTGTTTTCTAACACAAAATACTTGATTTAAACAAGAACTTTTTAAAATCCAGTAATTCTTAAACTAAATATAAATAGATGTAAGTGAATAATCACTATAAAAGACAAAACAAGGGGCACCTGGGTGGCTCAGTCATTAAGCATCTGCCTTCGGCTCAGGTCATGATCCCAGCGTCCTGGGATCAAGCCCCACATTGGGCTCCCTGCTCAGCGGGAAGCCTGCTTCTCCCTCTCCCACTCCCACTCCCCCTGCTTGTGTTCCCTCTGTGTCAAAAAATAAATAAAACCTTAAAAAAAAAAGACAAAACAATTTAAGTGAAATCAGGTATCTAGTAAAAAGACCATCAACTTGGACATTCATTTTAATAACCCATGTGCACTACTACTTTCCTTATTCATTTCTCTTTAAATATTGGTGCTATCATAAGGAAGGACAAGCCAACTCATGGGGACAGTGTACCTAGCAACTGTTACTTTCATTTGTTAACTCCATTTATGCATTTTCTTCATTAAGGCAGAAATATAGTGCATGTATAGTTCATCAATGAAGTTTAAATCCTGACAAGCTACCTGATTTCTTCCTTTAGTCTACCTGAGCAAAAGTTTCTTCCTCCCTAGTGCTCCTTTACCTTACTGACCTGATATATACTAGAAGGTAAATTTGTTTGCTATAAATTCTTACCCTCAGCTTTTTTGCAGACAAAGAACTCCCAACAAGAGCCTGTTCCCCAATGATCAGTAAAATAAGTTTCTAAACTAATTTTGTCAATGTAACAAAGCAAGGCCAAAAATTAAGTTCAGAACTGTTCTTTAAAAAAGTAGAAAGTCAAAATTTAAAGTTACTATTCTGAAATGCCAACAGGCTAGAATATCACTAAGTATCACTATCACTATAGTAAGATAATCTCCAGAAAGCTAATTACCGGCACTACATTATTCATTTTAATAAACAGTGAATGCAAATATTCTGCACTTCCTAAGAAAGGGCTGTATTATTTTTGAGCTGTCAGTATCAATTCTCCTTATATTCGGCAATGGTTTCAGCTTGATTCCCTTAGTACTCTGCAAATGACAAATGGGGAAGACAGAGAACAATGATAGCACCTACAGGAAAAGGGAAAGGAAGGCTTGACAGTAGCTTAAACTTTAGTGCAATAACTGAATAAAGCATTGGCTATCAATGGAAAGAGAGAATTTCTAAATACAGGCAGAGGCAAAGAGGTGAAAGCTTCTCAATTTGCTAATTCTAACTTAAATAGAGAAGGAAACAAAGGGGCCATTAGGAACTCCAAGTCAATGTAGGAAAGGTGTATTAATTACTTGTATTTTGATTAAAAGATACTCTGCTAAAAGAACCCTGGGAAAAAAAAAAAAGATTCCAGTCTTTCAAGTAAGGCAAAATCAAGGATCTTCAGCTATTTAGGGCAAGTTTAATGAAAACTGGACAGGGCTTAAAAGCTGTCTCTCCTGAAAATGAATTCCAAGATTTCATAAACAAGAGCCTGAACTATGGTATCTGTCAATACTGAAAAGCAATTTTATACCTCAAACTAAGTAGATAATGTAAGGGATTTACATCTTAAACTCCTGAATAGTTCTGTTTAATAGAATCATCCCTGCAAAATACTTATTTGCCAAATTAGTAAAATTGTTTTAAAAATCCATAATTCATAACAATAAAAAAAATGAACAAGGCAATTTGGTGAAATCTAACATAAACATGGTCAGGAGAAGTTATATTTAGTATCTTTTAAAGCTTAACACACATAAATCTTCAACCCCGTCTGCAATGAAAAAGAATGTATACTCCCATAATACTTTATTTGCTAATACACCTACTAAAAAGTCTGTAGATATTTGCCAACTGAGGTCATACAGTTAGAACTAATAAACCTAGCCTACTGCTCTTATCAATTGAAACAATTTTTTTTTAAGTTTTATTTTATTTAAGTGATCTCTACATCCAACAAGGGGCTTAAACTCATGACCCTGAGATCAAGAGCCACATGCTCCACCAACTGAGCTAGCCAGGCACCCCTCAATTAAAAATTTAATAAGCTAATTGCAAAGTTAAAAGGAAGCCACTAGCACTGGGTTGGACCTGTCACTTTGGTACCAAAGGGCCAACTTACAGTGAAGAATGGCTGACCTAGAATATAAATTCTGATTATAGATTGGCGTTCACATACTATTAACACGCTATTAACTTCTTTGACTCTGGACGACAGGCTTCAAGGAGAAGAGCAAATACTTTCAACCCATGAGAAACTAGATACAGCAACTTGCCTCATTTCTGATACCTTAAATATTTCTGTATCTAAAAAGGAAAACAGATAAGAAATATTTAGCTGTAATAACAAATGATGAATAGGCAACTTCTATGGTTGTTTTATAATGAAACAAAAGAAAACTTAATAAATATTAAGTCAAAATTATAAGAAATAAAGCTCATACCTTTCTACATTGTTCTGATGAAAATAATAGCTCTCGTTTATATTGATATGGTAGTTTACAATATTTAGCTATTTGAAATAAATTACCATACAACTAAAACTATTCTTGTTACATTTCTAAATAGAGTGGTAATTTTCCTTTTTCTAATGGAAAGTATAAAGTACAACTGAAAGTACTCACCCTGGCTACATCGGATAAGCCATATGAATGACTGAGCATTCATGTTTGTTTCATGTCACAATTTACATTTATGTCTTAATTTACATTGATACAGCTATACAATTTCAAAATTGAAATTATAATCACTGTACTATAAATTTTAGAACTTCTTGCTCTACAAGAAACTATTTTAAAACATTTTAAGTTAAGGAACATACCACTGAAAAGATACTTTGTTAGAAAATCTCTTTAGAGTGACACACAAACAAATCAAGCCTAAGAATTAAAAGACTGTTACCATTTGTAGGCAATGTAAACCATGTCTTAACATGACACGTACATGCACTTAGCAATACTCTTTTCTAATGAAAGAGATGGGAGTTAAGTCCATGAGTAGTATCCAAACTATGCCAGAGGACACAAATGCGTTGCCAGGCAGAGTTAAAAGAATCTAACAAAGCTTTGTGTGAATTTTTAAACAGCATTTCAGCTTGTTCTAGTAATTAAACACAGAATGATGGAGCGCTAATAAATATTCACCAAAATAACTGAACAGAGCATATACTACTTAAAATGTGTGTTAAGCAGAAAGATAAACCAAATTATCTTTTGCTGTAAATGAACTCTTAAGGCTTCGTTCTATATTTTAAAAAGTTAAAAACCAAATTTATGTAACATTTCTATGAGACAAACTGTTTCAGGAGTTTACAAAACAGTAATGCAGGCAGGTCTAGGGAATCTAACAAACAAGCTTGATGTTAAAATTTCTCAACTATAGAAAACAATGACTACTACTTTGATACCCTGGTCTCGTCCCTTTTCCAATTTCTTAGTATGAAGTAACATTTCGCTTTGAGTTACTAAGGCGTTCACAGAGGAATCGTATAAAATAGAACAAAAGTAAACTATTGTTTATTTTACAGAATATATTTTTACATTAAAATACACAAGGATAAGTGGATATTTCATAATAAAATTCAAGAGAATATGTAAGTCCTTCAAAAAAGTAAATATACTTAAAAGTGAAGTAAAAAATAAAGTATGTTTATATTCTATTTAAAATATAGATTGCTCTTTTGGTTTATTTTGCTGCTTTGTCCCACGCTAGATACCACGTGATTTCCGCCCCCCTAAAATGACATATAAAAGTTTAGGTTTAATGATGAGGAACCAGTACAGTGCAAAGCAATTCATGCATACACTTTTGCATGTATGCATTCCATATGTAAGTATTCATACCTATCCCAGAGGTTCTTTGATTCCTGAAACGTGTTCAAATGGAACGCTTGGTAGAAAGCAGTTGAAGGATTCCTGTGAGATCCAAGAATCAAATGGAAATGAGGTTGAGAAAGTATAGTAAAATCACTACTTTTCAAAAAAAAGATGGAAGATTTTAGATTTCTAATATAGTGTGTAATGGCTTTAGTAAAAACACTATATAAGCTTGCTTAAAAA